TTTTCTCTTCATCTACAAAAATTCTACAAATATACTACAAATCAATTTTAAGTATGTATAAAGCAGTATTATTTGTAAGGGTATCTACATAATTACTACATTTATTCTACAATTAAACTACAATCTATGTTGAAAATCTACAAATTATCTACAAAATATCTACAAACTGGGTACATTGAATTTTAATATCCCAATTCCCATTCAATTGTAGCATAATTGAGATTTTTGACATAATTGCATTTTTTCAGAAGATTTGTAGAAGTTTTAGTCGTTTTTGATGTGTGAAAACAGAAAACAAAGCACCTACAATTAGAATACAAATAATCTACAATTTATCTACAAAATATCTACAAACTGGGTACATTAAATTTTTATATCCCAATTCTCATCCAATTGTAGCATAATTGTGATTTTTGACATAATTGCGTTTTTTCATAAGATTTGTAGAAGTTTTAGCAGTTTTTTATTTATGAAAACAGAAAATAAAGCATCTACAATCAGAATACAAATAATCTACAATTTAACTACAATTTATCTACAATTTCTGCAATATGTCTTCTTCTTCTTCTTCTTCTTCGAGTTTCAATCTGAAATTAAGTCAAAACCAAGTCTAATCTTCACCAAAACCCCTCAAAATTGAGATATAAACTCCAAACCACATTCCCGATTATTTTCAACAACACCCAATCCAAACAAATAATGATTTTTGAAAACTCAAATTTGAATTCAAAGCTTTCAAGTTTTTTAATGGCTATCAATGTTGGAAAATATATGGAAGAACGGATGAAGATGAAGATGAAGATGAAGAACAGAATTCTCCTTTCCATTTCAAAACTTAAATTTAATGTAGACTCAATCAATCGCAAGATTTTTTCCTGATTTTTAGCGCGTTAATTATGGAAGATTTTGCCCAATTAATCGTATATTAAACAAATGGTACAAAAATTGTAGGAAAACTGTGAACTGGGCGGATAATTTACATAGTATGCACATATTTGGTAATAAGATTTTATATATGTTATAGTTAGGAAAAAGTCCCAAAATTCAATGGGACGCCCAGTTTGTACCCCAGTATTTAACCTATACCTTATTGTTTCAAAATATTTAATCTGTACCCAATATTGGAGAACTTCAGACAAAATTTTCACGCTTATTCTTCTACTTCTCCTCCTCTTCGTCTTCCCTGTATACCAACTTTCAACTATTGTCTTCCAGTTTCATGTTATGCGTTGGTTTTTTCTTCCCTCTTTCTTTTTTATTTCTTTTTAGGGCAGATCTGCTTCTCTCTATTCTGTCTTCGTTCTTTCTTTATTCTTTCCCCTTTTTCCCCTTTTGCACATATCAATGTAAAGTTATTTTATTGGTATTTTAATTAGTGCAGAAAGGGTTTATGGTTGTTTGTTGCCTTTTTTATGAGAATCTCTAGATTATCAAAATTTAGTATCTGTTTGAGCATAAATAGCAAATTCATCCACTAGGAAAACGAAAGGCAGCACGAATTGCAAATTTAGATTTATTGATTCAAAATCATTTGATTGAAATCCTTGGACCTGCATTCCTTGTCGGAAACGTGATTGAACATTGTCGGGAAGCGTGAAACTCGAAGATGCATCCCGGGATTCAGTTATTGTCTAAAGTTTGCAACTATTAGGAGTAACTTCAGAAAAAAATGATGTGAAGGTCAAATTGATTTTGTCTCTGAAGTTTGCATTACAAACTGAAGAACTTCTCATTAATTTATATGAAGTTTGCACTATGAACTAAAGTTTGCCAATTCATATTTACAAGTCTGAAGTTGTTCAAAAAGTGGATAGACTTGCAATTATTTATGCAAAATAGATATAAATTTAATAGTGACCCAAAAATTGAGTATAAATGCAAATGCCTCAAAATTGGCCAGCCTACCCAACTTTTTCTCATCGAAATAGGACTTCTGGTTAAAGAGCAGTTAAATCCTGATTGTAGCAAAAAGGCCGGGCTCACAGCAGCACTAATCCGCCCAGAATTTTTTCTTCTTTTCTATTCCTTCTTGTTGTCTTCTCTTCTCATTGATAATAATTAACAGATGTGATGTTTCTACCAAATAAATCAGTTTATATCACTTGCACATACACATGAATGAAAAAAAATATTTCGTTATCCGTAGGCAAAGACAAGAAGCTTAATTAGTAGAATTCGTTATACGTTAATTCGCTAAGATTAAAGTTCAACAAAATTCATACGATCATAATTAGTAGTATTCAGCAAAAACGTTACATATAAAAAAAGGGAGTTATATGATAATAATCTTCATAGAACTAAACTTATAAATTAAGAATAGAAGCATATCTTTATGGTGAAGGTCTAAATCTAACTCCAGGTAAGTGTCTAGAAACAAACTCTCGTGCTAATGTATGGAGCTCAAAGTTCTCCAGTTCTTGATCATCGAACGAATCACTTAAACCTGCGGTTATGTCAAATTGAGGATATTCCATATTATTACTCGAAGATGATATGCTTGAAGTAGTGCAGAAGATATCTGAAGATGATTGCAGCGCTGTTGGTGTAATTGGACTTTGTGGCTCTGGCCCTTGTCGCATAGGGAGGTGCTGTAAGGTAGAAAGGCGGGCTTGAACATATGCTAACTCAGCTTGCAAACTTACAACCTGCGTATGTGTAAGAAATCAAACCATGCGAGTATTGAACATCGGTTGAAAAATCAAAGAAAAGAAAATATAGGTGTTTCTTTTCTACTTCAGATATTGTCATCAAGAAGGCCGCTAGTGTTAACTAATACAAGACAATATTTTCATAGTTTGAAATTCTTACCCTGATAAAAATTTACCTGTTAAAATAAGTTAAATTACTAATAGCGTTGACAGATGTTATTTTATTGTTTTACTATTAGAATATTTAACGGGTTGTAACAGTTAATGTGTACATTATCTTTCAGATTATTAATTTTGTTTTTTATAGGCTATATATGAGTTTAACTTTCACACTTAAATATAAAACAAAATTTTCACACTATTAAATCACCTAAAAAATCAATTATTTAGTTAACTGTTCATAAAAAAGGGAGACTAGTAACTTAAAAAATTAAGACTTGTTACAATATATTCAAATAAATTAACAAGGTAAATGTTTTTTATACTGACAATATATATACATGTTAAATACAAACAATATACCATATGATGCATTACGTTTTTCTTTTGAAATTTATGTTTCTTGGTTTCTTAGGTTTCAGTACTGACTGAAATCTCAAGTCTACAACAAACTAATTAAAATAAATCCTTATGGTTGATAAACACTCGTATAATTTTCATGAAATTCGATCGTATTATAATATCTGTCAGATTTCCCCCCAGTAACCTACCATGGACGGCAAACCCACTTTAATGTATTATGTTCTCTTAATTTTATTATGTAACAAAGGGGTAAAGACAACTTCGTGGCGTATAGGAAGTTAATATCAGAAAGCTTAATTCTGTTCGTGGAACTCTGTAACATTTGTGTTATCTCCTATAATAGATAGAATTGCAAGTAGTAACATATTGCTTTCCTACCTAATTAAAGAGTTTTGTGCTTATCTGCCCAATAATAGACATTTCGTAGTATATTTTATTCCTGAGCATTGGAATCTTACCACGAATTTTAAATGCTTAACTAATTTGCTCAACAAAATTTATTTTAGCACTTAAATGGTAAAATATTACTCACTACAATCTATTTTATGTGAAGGTGCTTAATTGAGCAAAGAGTTTAAGAAAAAAATTGAGAATTTATGATTTTATGTACATTATCATGACATTTACAAAAAAGTGAAATTATAAGATGTCACATTAAATGAAATGCACGGAATAATATTCTTTTGCATCTGAATTTGCCAAATTAACACTTTATAACGCATAGTATTTAGCACCTTTGTTGAGTTCCACCATAAACAGGTAAGAAAACAAAGTAAGCAAGAAAGTCAAATTATTGAACAATGGGAATATATATCGGGCTGCTAAAGTTGGTTAGGGTTACTTATTACTCCCGCCAAGCAAGACAAAAATATTTCAAAGTCCACGTCCATCAACTATTCTATGCAAAGTTCTCTCTCTTTCTTGTAGAGGAACAGCGCATGTTAGATTTTTTATTTTTATTTTTGCTAATAATGTTAGATTCAGTTTTAAGGGATTTAAATTATATATACTCTAAAGTTTTTTTTTCATACTCACACAGTAATTTAGTTGATTATAACATAATCTTCTAAGTTATCATATCAATTTTGCTATAAAAAGTTACTACTTGTTAGTAGGTCGATTAGATATGATAGTATAAAAATTAATACACTGTCAGTACACAAGACACTACACTCAATTTAAAAAGGATTTAAGTTATTACATGGATAATATAATGAATTTTTTGCACCATATATATATACATATATATATATATATATATATATATAAGTTAGATAACAAATTAATGCTATTAAATAGAGTTGGTTTCCTGCAATTATCTTTCAAATGACATGATTACGTAAATAATTCTATATTATCATTGCAATTTGCAAGAAACTTGCACTCTTTTAAAATTTCAAAATTCGGATACGTAATAATTTTATGAGCCTTGAAATGTGGCTGGGTATGAGAAGTGCATATTAATGAACATATGTACAATATAACATGTTACTGTAGTAGTAAATGAACCATTACTCATTGTATTACTCCTATTTGTTAGCAACTTGTCAATGAGCAGTAACAAGAAAGACTTTCAGAGTACTGTAAGAAAAGACTCGAACCATTTTGAACACATAGACAGTTGAGGGTTCTATCATATAGTTCTACTATGATCCTTTTGACAATATTAGATTATGAGTCATTGACTATCCTACAGTTTCAAAAAAAATGCTAGCCACAACAAAGGACAGAAGTATATTTACCCCAACCCCACCTTGACAAATCTTGGAATAATTTCAGAAATTTTAGCTTATACTTTTGGATACCATTTGATCCTTCCAGAAATTTGAACCAAAAAAAAAAAAATCGTTAAAACCCCAAATTATTGGGCAGCCCTAAATCCAATCATTTGATTTCTCTTTTTATCCCCTCTTCTTTGAAGGGCTCTACACAAGTCTATCGCTCTATCTTAAGTTTTCAAGCCCTAGAGCACATCTCATCAACTCCAGCATACAAGTCATCACACCATATGAACTTAACAGAAAATACAACTTCTCTTTAGTAAGATTAATTGACAAGCAAGAAACCAATCCAAAATTAGTCAATGAGTTTAAAATGAGAGTGATCTTATTATATATTTATATTATAAGTAACTCTTTTGTAGTATATATAAACATGTTGAGCCGAAACAATAAATACAGTTGAACTCACAGAATTCATCATTATAAAATTCAGTCAAGCAAATAATGTCAAATCAAGAATCGAGAGTCAGTAGCTTCGAATTAGACGTACAACTTTTTATTTCTGTTAAACATATATATTGAGACAGAGAACAGAACTCACCTTAAATCCGCCTCGACTAAAAGCAATTGAGCAAGAATATTACCAAGAAAAAAGCCCAGAAAGTTCATACCTGTTGCTGAAGAGTAAAGATGTGAGCAACACAACCATAGATAGGGTCTCTAACTCTAGCAAGAGCCTCATAGCAAAGTGTAACGACAGCATCCAGACGTTTATGTGCTGGAATTCTGAGCAGCAATTTAGAGGCATTGCTAGCTCCAAACACCTTATGTACAGCAGCAAAATGAGCAGTGCCTTGATCAGAATCAAAATATGGTGCAAATATGCATCCCCTCACACATTTTCTTCTAAGAAACTTGCATGCACCACAAGGCCCGCTACCTCCTGCGCCTACAACATTATTATTATTATTATTATTATTATTATTATTATTATTATTATTATTATTATTGTTGTTGTTGTTATTATTATACTGACGATCAGCACCACCACATGAACCACCGTTCATATTTTCTCTGTCTTTCTCTCCCTCTCTATTTATGTGTTTATGATCTTTTATTGTTCACTTGCCAAAGTGAGCTTTTGAGCTTTGTGGGGTCTTGGAAAATTGGAAGCAGAAGCAGAAGCAGAAAGAGAGCTAAAGATTTGGAGAGAGATGGGTATTTATTTAAAAAGAGTATAGACTAAGAATGAATAAAATGGACACCTAGCTACTGTTTGTTACTACTAGTATTAATTTAATTCTGCTCTTTTATTTAAATTATTTATGGAAGCTTTGGTGGTGGGTCAGTTGATAGACCTGCCAAGAGAGTAAATCTCACCATACATATTTTAGGATAACAGGAGTTTACTCCCATAAATTGATCAGATTATTTAAATAAAAATTAGATATACTATTTATATGTAAAAAAAATGAGATTAGTAACCTATAAAGTAAGATGTATTATTTGTTACAATGAATAAGAAACACAGAATAACACTCTCTCCGTCCTAACTTAATTTACTTGATCGAGTTTGATTGGACATAGAAATTTAAAAAAGAAACTTTGAAATATGGGTTATATAAACTCTTTAAATTATTAGAGTAATATATGCTTCTTTTGTCCCAATTTATATGTTGTATTTCTTTTTATGTCTGTCCCCAAAAAAATAAAATTTAACTTTAAATTTTTTATTTTATCCTTAGTAAGATGATTTGTTACCAGATAAATATTTTTGTCTTATTTTAGAAAATAAATTTTAAAACTAATACTTTCTTTTATAAACAGCATATCAAGTTAGTTTGCATCACATAAAATATAAATCATTATCAAAGGTCATAGAAAATTTATGTGTTCTTTAGGGGTGGAGCTAGGGGGTGCATATTGGTGTAAACTTCTAAGCCAAGGCGAAGACAGAAGCAAAAAGGAGGTAATAGCTGCAGCTTGCGTGAAGCAAACATACATGCGGTGGAGTGGATACTGGACAGTAATAGCTCCCTATTTTTATTTTTTTATTTTTTGCCCCCTGATTTCTTTCTTTCAGAAAGATTTCTTCAATCAACCACTGTTTGTGTTTACACCCCCACGTGCGAGTCCCGTGGGAAATAAATCCCATCATTCCATCAATCATACCTTTACTCCCTCTTTCACACCCTCCTGCCCAACTTCCTTCTCTCTTGTCATTTCTATCCTATCACATCACACACACACACTCCAGTCTCCAGACCAGTATTACTACACTGTCTGAAAATAAAGGAAGAGACTGCTTGTGTGTAATTACTCTTTTGATATCGTAGACTATATTAGTACCTCATGTGATATCTTATTTTACTTTTGATAACTGAGAAAGTATCTAGGATCAGTCTCGGAGCTATGTTCNATATATATATGTTTTTGAATCCTCATTGACATATAAAAAGCTTTAGTAGTCGTTTGGCCATAAGTTTTTGAAGTTCTTTTTTCATTTTTTTTTTTCAAATATGCTTTTGTTTATAGAATTAATCTAGTTTTTTAAGATTTTGAAAACGAAAAATTCAAATCCCAAATATAGCTTAAACCTCTGTTTGGGCCAAATCTTGAATATTTGGGACTTTTTAGCTGAAAAAAGTAAGAAAAACTAACTTTTAAACATGCTAAAACTTGCCCCAAAATTCATGTCCAAATACAATTTCAATTTTACATTAAACTTTACCCAAATCAATATTTTCAAAATATATTTGGGAATTTATGTCCAAACGGGTCCTTAAATTTATTGAAAAAGGGGTTCAAGAAATATTCAAGGTTACACATTTGAATCCTAGCTAGGAGTCAGACTTGTTTTGGAAATAAATTCTGTGTTCCGAGGACCAGGACCCGTAAAAACTGTAAAAACTAATAAATTGTGTTTTTAAAATGAATTTAAGTTGACTTCAGTCAATATTTTGGGTAAATGGACCAGGACCCGTAATTTGACGGTCCCGGAAAGTCCGTAGGAAAATATGGGACTTGGGTGTATGCCCGGAATCAAATTCTGAGGTCCCAAGCCCGAGAAATGAATTTTTGAAGAAAATTGTTTAACCGAAATTTTAAGAGTTTTTGGAAGCTCGAATGTATTGGAATTTGATGGTATCAGCCCCGTATTTTGGTTTCGGAGCCCGGTACAGGTCTTATATGGTATTTAAGTTGAGCCTGTAAAATTTGGTAAGAAACGGACTTGATATGACATGAATCGGACCATCGGTTGTTAAAAATGGAACTTAAGAGTTCATGAGATTTTTCTTTGATTTTGGTGTTAAATTCATGGTTATTGATGTTATTTTGATGAGTTGATTGCACGAGCAAGTCCGTATGATATTTTTGGACTTGCGTGCATATTTGGTTTGGAGCCCCGAGAGATCGGGTGAGTTTTGGATAGGCCACAAAGTTTTTTGAACTTAGGAAAAACTGATGTATGTTGCAGGTCTGCAGGCTTCGCAATTGCAAATCCTGGCTCGCAATTGCGAGCTCGCAATTGCGAATAAACATTCACATTTGCGAAGACTGGGTTGGCAGACCTTGGTCGCAAATGCGACATTTCCTCGCAATTGTGATGTCGCAAATGTGACCTTTCCTTGCAATTGCGAAGGTGACCGGAATTGCCCATGGTCGCAAATACGACGTATCCTTCGCATTTGCGAAGTTAGCAGGTTTTGATGGGGTTCGCAATTGCGACATTTGCGACCTGCAAAATCATAACCTAGCCAAAAATCTTTCATTTTTCAAACCTTTTCAATACCTAAACACCTTTGGGCGATTTTTTTTAAAGAAAACTACTCTTCCAAATTGATTGTAAGTCATTTCTAACTCGTTTTCATTAATCTTTAACATCATTTCACATGATTTCAACTCAAAATCAAGAGTTTTCATGGGGAAATTGGGTGTTTTGGGTAGAACTTAGGTTTTTTAAATTTTGGGGATTTGGACCTCGATTTGAGGTCCGATTTCAAAACAAATTATATATTTGGGTTCGTGGGTAATCGGGTTTTGGTTCGAACCTCGGGTTTTGACTATGTGGGCCTGGGGTCAATTTTTGACTTTTTGGGGAAATCATTGAAAAACTTATTTTCATGCATTGGAATTGATTCATTTAGCATTTATTGATATAGTTAAGTAATTTGTGGCTAGATACAAGCGAATTGGTGGTGAAAACGAGAGGTAAAGCGGTAGTTGAGGCTTGGATTGTGTTCGTGGCATTGAGGTAAGTGTTTGGTCTAACCTTAGCTTGAGGGATTAGGAATTGTGTCTTAATTGTTGTGTGTTAATTGTGGAGTACGATGTATAGTCATGGTGACGAGTATCTATACGTCAGTGTCAAGCATGCCCATAACTCTAGTGTTGTAATTGTTGTTACACCGGCGGGTGATTCTATTGTGGTAGATCATGTCCATCGTTCATGTATAGTTGTGATTGGGGGTCTTGAGACTCGAGTAGATTTGTTACTTTTGGACATGGTTGATTTTGATGTCATATTGGAGATGGGCTAGTTATCACCTTACCACGCTATCTTGGACTGTTGATCACGCCCAACTATGCCTTCTAAAAGACAAAGCGATCGTTGCAAATATAATTCGGTTTTAAGTCCGGAGTCGAATCCTCAGGGAACTAACCTATCTATTACAACTCTTTGGCAATGCTATTATCAACTCAACCAATTTCTAGATGTAAGATATCAATCTTGGGTTTTGTTTAACTACTTTAAATAATATTGGAAATAACAATAAGCTAGATTAAAGATAATTCAATGGTAAAAAGGTCTAGGGCAGTGATTTTCCCAATTGCTAGTTCAGGTCTTGACTCTTTCGCTATAATCTCACCACAATACTCTATGAGGATTAAGAGCTATGAGTTATCATAGTTATCTCTCGATCAACTACAATAATTTACTAGAGCATTCTCTCGAACTACTCTAGCTAACAATATGTGCACCTCTAAATTATCCCACCAAAGTTTTGTTATCTCTAAATCCACTTTTAAGTTCAAGTAATGAATCTCTTCAATTACCCAAAAGTGGTGTTGTTCAACAGCTGTCTAACCTAGTATTCTTTCTCAAGCAATACGAGATAATTAGACACGATTAATCAAGGGCACATTCAATTAATCACCATACAAAATGTAGTTGAACAATCATATAATAAATCCGGCTCGATTATTATAAGTTGAGTCAAAACTTCAACCAACAATTGGTTCTATCAATCCTAGATAATTGTTTAGCTACTCATAACAAAATAGAATAAAACTACAAAGTCATTCATAATGTATAATTGCAAGAATTAAAAGGAGATAGAAAAACTCTAATGTTTGGTTGATCTTCTCACACTTGTTCTTGCCTCCAAAGTAGTCTTAAAAACAAGCTTAATACTCTTTTGGGCGAGCTTCTAAAGTTTATATGAACAAGTTTTTCCCGAATTACACTTTGGTCCCCAATTTTCTGGCAATTGAATAGTTTACCGTGGCCGCGGCAAGACCGCGGTGAACGCTGAACATTCTGCCTCGCATAATTGATCTGCCACAGTTCAACCGCGGTCACGGTGGATTTCACTCAGTCTATTTTTTGTTTCATTATGCTCGGGTACTTCTTGATTGGGCGTTTTCTTCACATTATTGACTCCAAAACACTCCGTAGTGTTTCCTCACTTAGATTATTCCCTGCGAAGCAAAAGAACACCATTCAGAGCATTTTGTTATCAATTCGCCAATAAAACAACAATAAAGCATGGTAATATTAAGGTGTAAATATCATCTATATAGCCTAATATCAACACCCCACACTTAAATCATTGCTAGTCCTCTAGCAATCCACCACACTCTATCAAAGTTCGTTCCCTAAGCTTTTCCCTTAACGACTCGCACCTTGAACAATTTACCAAAGTTGCACCTAGTAGTGAACAACCTTTGCCTCAACAGTCGAATCTCTCGTACCATGCAACATTCGCGCTTACTCAAACTACTCTATACAGAAGTCAAGACTTACCTTTCCTTTGTGAATCAGATGCCCTCACATCACACAAGAGAGTAGTTCCGCAAATAATATGATTAAAAACAATTAGGAACTCAGATGGACAAAATTCGCTCACTCTCCAAAAGAACATTCACATGTCACAAAGATGCACCATAGGCTTGCCCGTAGTGTAATACTTTACTAATCGAGCCTATCCAGTCTAAGATCAATTAGGACTTCATTTGGCTGTAATGTAGGCTAAGGGATGGGTAGGATATATGTGGATATAGTGACTAACCTCCCTAAGCACTTTTAATACAAAACACATTAACATTTCATATCATTCTTATGTCAACCAGACTTTCCCCACAATTTATTTATAACATCCCATTTCTTTATGTGCATTTGTATCAAGCTACCACTTATCAACTACTACATTTATTCACAATTTTTTTTCGTGGCACTTTTTCTTTTACTCTTCAAAACTGTACCTTTCCTCTATTTCATTGGCTCCACTCAAAACCAAACCACCACCCCACACTTTAATTTTTGCATATGTCAAGGCCATTCAAGTGCTCATGGGAGGTAAAAGGGTTCAAACAGAAGGCTATTCAAACAATTGGGTAAGGTTCGTAATGTGGTTGCCAAAGAAACAGGCTTATAGGCTCAACGGGGTTAACTACGATGTATTACATTCAGGTGGATTTACGTTATATATCTGGCTTAACAAGAAATGCCTATATCACTTCTAAGACTGAATGAAGCTACTATTTCGCTTTGTAAACACACAAGACAAGTTCTAGGCATCAAATGTAAAGCATGGAATACAATATAGCTCACACACACATGGCATATGACTCACTTCGGATTGATTTATCAAGACATTCTCTTTTGAGTGTTCAATTCAGTTACAAACATACAACTTTAAGGCACTTTAGAAAGATTCAACCATTGAGACTAGGCGTTACACTCTAGTATCGATTGTGTTCAGGAGTATTAACGCCAAGGGATTCTCTTTCTAATTCAGCTCGTAGCCCATCAATGCTAACTAAAACTAAAAATAAAATAAACAAGAACTACCTACACCCGGTTCAAGCTAAACCCTTGGAAAAGAACTGTGGCCCAAAGAAAAACCAAGGGGGAGTTACTACACTACCTAAAAATAAAATTTAAAAAATCTTTTTGGGATTTTCTCTAGACTAACTTCCCTCAAGAAACTATCTCAAATATCCGTCATCAGGAAGAGTCCTTATATTATATTTTTTTGTTCGACTCATATCCCTCAAGAGACCGTCGAAAGGTGTCCATCTTTGGGCCAAGTCGAAGTTAATTTCATGACCCTACCATACCAATCAAACAAAAATAATGCACATCATACAAAGTTACACAATCTATTTACAACAACATCATACAACAACAGCCAGCCCCTACCCCACACTGAAAAATATGGCATATCCCCATGTCAACGAATAAAGAGCAGAGTAAGGAAGGGGGACTTCCTTGAAGATCAATCCTGATCAGAGACGGTGCCAGGATCGAGGTGACATGCTCATCCTAGCACTCGAAGCCATCCCATAATCTTCTTTTCCGACTTTGTCTATTGAGTGGTTAGAGTGTCAACTCTGGTGCCCAAGTCTGTGACAGAAGTGCAGAGACCAGCCATTTCCTACTCCAAGGCTATCATGCAGGTACTTTGGCGGGGCTGTGATGTGCCTGCCTCCTCAACTCTCGTAGGTGGTGGGACCTCAGCTGCCTCAACATCATTATTATCAGATTTATCATCCGATTCAACAACATTCACCACCGGCTCTATCCCAATTCTGATTTTCTTGCCAAGAACGGGGCTTTCAGTGGCAATTTGCCATCAACTCTAAGGTTTTCAGGGACTCTAGCAAGACGACACAACTTGGTAACTAGAGAAAGGAAGTAGAAGCCTTTGAGTAACTCAGGTGATCTAATGAACATCTCATCATGGAGGAGTCGAGCCACATCAAAATAACTGTGGGCCATGAAATAGTAGATCGCCGCCGCTCGTGGTTGATTGACATCAGTCGTATTGCTGGAGGGCAACAACTAGCTGTTGATAACTGTGAGCCAACACTTAGCCTCCCAATTGAGAGACTGGGAGTTAAGTGTGATTCGGGGCTTTATCCATATGTATTCTCTGTCTGGCACATAAATAGTCTCAAGAAGAGTTGCCCACAAGGCACTTGTTTGGCTATAAGTACGATAAACATCAGATTCCCCCAGAACACTGACAGTTGGTACACCCTACGGATGGCCTCGATGGTTGAGTTACCCGGGTATTGCGTACAATAACAACTCCATTCTCATGTTCCGGGCAGTCAGCGTAGAATTCCCTAACCACTTGAACATTGGCGTCCTCCGGTTCCCCAAAGAAGATGTCCATCTGACATCTCCTAAACTCATTGATGATATTCAGGCATTCCACTTCTAAGGCTTCTCGATCAATGTGCACCTCCGCTAACAATTTCTTAGACGCTTTTGCATTGTACCTGTCCTCCACCATTTTGGAGACAAATCTAGTTCTATCAAACTGTGGCGCACTAACTTGGCCCCTGGCCCTCGAGGAGCTGCCCGGTTCACTAGCGGAGGATCCTGTGTTGCGTCTTTTCCTAAATGGATTCATTATACCTGTCAAATAGAGAAACACCTATCAGTGAGGGTGTGAGATGTGTGAACTATGGGTGGTTACTCAGACTTCACCACAATTAGC